GCTCAGAATGGGCATTGGTGAGGCTCTCGGGATTACCTGATTAATGTGCAATGCTAGGACGCTTGGCTTTGCGCAAGAAAACCTTGCAGAAGGCGCGTGGCCCACTTTATAGATCTGCTCTCGGGCTGGCAAACGCAAATCAGCGCGACTTTCACGCCGGCGCCGGATATGTATATGCCACAGCACAGCGGGCACCGCGTCAACTAGCACAACGCATTGCAAAATTTCGAGATGCTGCGCTGCTGTCAGCGGCCCGGCATGGTCAGCGCGCGCGTTCCACGCGCCATGCATTGTGGAAAGGGGGTTGGGCATCAAAGATCAAGTAAGACACCGACTGGCCCAACGGGCGCGCCGTTCTTGAAAAATGATGTAGGAGATGGACTGCGCGGACGTCTCGGTCATTTCTGGAAGCGGCCCATGGCAGCAGGGACGCATGCACAAGCGTTTGCTATTCCTCATATGAAAGAATACATTGGGCTGCAAACAACAGCCCCTGCAGTCGCACCTCGATCTCCTCCGCCACCGCAGCATGCATGCTATGAATGTGGCGCGGCATTCATTGAGTTTCAACTCTCCCGCCAACATGCGGCTACTAAGCAGCATCTTCCCAAGGATGAGCCCAAATGCTGGGCACCCGGCACTATTTGTCAAGCATGCAGGAATGGTTTCGTGGAGGGGGCTCGACTAACCAAGCACCTTGAGCAGGCCCCCTCATGTTGCATGCCATGGAATGATGCGCAGGGGGGCAATATCATGCATGATATGGACACTGACATGAACAGCACATTCAAAGCGCACACACAACACAGAGCAGAGGGCAGATGCGAGGACAACGTCATGCGACCTCCTATCAGTGACTACGGACCACCTATCTGCAACAAAGTGCAAACTAGCAGAGTCACGCGTCTTGCAACTATTGGATCACTTGCATGTCAGAGCCAACTGCCACTTTTGAATCCACGGCAGCATCTCTCGCGCCCAGCTTCTTGAGCATCGCTCGTTCAGAACAGCCGCTACATGTAAACATATACCCACCAGGTCAACATGCCTCGATGATGGGCCAATCTGAAGTTGGTCCAGAATTTCGAGATGGGGCAGATAATCGGGACGGCGATCCATCGCGCTTTGGGCGACGGCGAAGATTTCAAGAGCTTCACTACCTCAGCGCAGCCGTATCCCATGCACATGCAGTGAATGTGTCCGCAGGGGCCCCCGACGCAAAGCGTCGGAGTTCCACGAGGCACATAGTGCGATCAACAGAGCGCTTCAATCGGAATGACTGATGGCGAATGATGAACGTGAGCACCTACAGCACAGATCAGCTGACATCAGATCCTTGGACGATTGCTATTTCAGGATGAGAATGAACTTCCCGATGGTCTTCACCGCTGATTGTGTCAACGCGCTCACGCCGCACTTCGGATATGTGGCTTGCCTTTCGCCGCCGACTCATATGCATCCATGGCGCATCGAACACGCAACGGCCACAGGCATTCACCATAGCCTGATCGCTCAGGCCATATATTCAACAGAAGGTAACAACTTAACAGGCAGTTCTGGCACGGTCTTGGGACAGGATCTAATGGGTCACGCGCCAGACTTGATGGAACCAGACGACATGGACATGGATATCGAGTAGTCAGAACAGGACACCTTGACGCCGGCGCAGACCATTGGGCCCAAAGCGAGGCCCAAACAACCTCCAGCAGGTGTGTCAAAGGCTACGATTGCAGGTACGGCCAGCAGCAGAATTGATAGCATGTGGGACGCCCGATTCGGGCCGATGCTACCAATAGCAGCACTACCAATACGACAGCCACCTAGAGCAAAAGCGCCGTGGTTTCTCACAAACCTCAGAGGACGGCGACAGACCACCAGGAACAGACAAAGGATAATGAGGACCAGGCAGATATTTCAATCGTAGAGCATGCAATTGACATGGCCGAGGTGGTTCCGTATGAAGACGACTACGACGAATTTTGAAAACGATGAAACTACCTAGTGTGCACTGGCGGAGTGATGATCTTACGGATATTTCAATCACTTCCTAGCTGTTCCACTGGAGGGACTCTGAATGTTGTTGATTTGGTCTAAGTGATATTTCGGTCTTCCCTTGTTTCCTGGGAGGTTGGTGTTATTCCAATTACGTCCTGTTTGTTCCACCAGTGGGAGTCTGAGGGCTGATGATATGGTCTAAGTCGCTCTGTCAATCCCCATGTTTGCCGGGCCATCGATATGGTTTCAAACATGCCCTATTTGTACCATTGGTGGGACTTGAGTGATGAGACCGTTGATGTAGTTTCATTGGTCGATATATGCTCTATTGGTGTGGTATATGAGTTTGCTTTGCATCAGCAACAGTACTGACGCGAGTGGGGTCTTCTGAGGCCCGCCCCGCACTGTACATTTTTGTATCGGCCCCGTCGTGGACAGGCCTGAAGTCCGATCCGATCGAAACCGGGGAGGAGGAGGAGGAGGAGGAGGAGGAGGAGGAGGAGAAGAGGGAGGAGGAGGAGGAGAAGGAGGAGGAGGAGGAGTAGGAGGAGGAAGAGGAGGAGGAGGAGGAGGAGGAGGAGGAGGAGGAGGAGGAGTGGGGCGGTTGTCGCTGCAAAGAGGGAACAATTCCCGAGCAGAACAGCACGCACCACGACCACGATGACGCCGACGACGACGGAGGCGAGGCACGCTTACGATCCGCACCGAAGCACGGATTCGGGAGAGGACTCCCCCCAGTGCGAGGTTTGGTGAACAGCACGTGCCCTTAGCCCCCAACCTTGGGGGGCACGGGCAAGGGAAAAGAGGAAATCATGGAGCAGAGGTGGTTGTGATGGGGGTATGGGATGATTGGATGGCGAAGGGAGAAGAGATGAATGGATGAGAAAGGGGTAGGGCGACAAGGCGCGTAGATGCACGGGACAGGAGGGGGAAAGAGGAGCGATGCAGGAGGGATGAGGGCCAGACGAGAGCAGAGAGTGGGAGGAGGGAGCATGGATCGGGAAGGCAGGATGGAAGAGACAGAGGGAGGAAGTGGGATTGGGGATGGGGTGTGGGCATGGAAGAGCGAGGGATGGAAGAGGAGGAGGCACGAGGCGAAGGAGGAGGCATGAGAGAGGAGGGGAGGCCAGGTGTACTGGAACGGAGGAGTAAGGGGAGGAGGGGGAATAGAGGCGCCACCTGTTGCCCGCCATCAGATTCGAAGACACGGGCCAGGGCTTTCTATCGGTGTCAACATTGCCTTCGGAGCTGGCCAGGCCGCTGTGGCCGACGTGGCCAAGGAGACCGGCCTGAACCCTGACAGGGCGGCGGACTTCGCGGACAGGATATTGCATGTGGTGGCGGACCTGCAGAATGACAACGTGGCGCACGCCAAGAAGCTCGTCGACCACCTCGTCAAGGAGGGCACGAAGGGGGAGAAGCTCGAGAGGCACGCGGAGGAGCACCTCCTGGCGCAGGCTGGCGGGGAGGAGAGCAAGGTGGAATCAGAGGGGCGGTAGGAGGAGGAGGAGGTAGGACTTAGGCGAGGATGAGGCAGTAGAGGAGGAAAAGGCTGCTTAGGATGAGTCAGGAGGGAGGAGGAGTGAGTCCGATCATAGCCACAGTCACCTTCTCTTTCCCAAGAGGAGATGAGTAAGGAGGTGTTGGAGAAGCCTGAGGAAGCAGGATGAGGACGTGAGGAGATTGGATCAAGAAAGAGGAGGAGGGGAGGAAGGAAGGCGGAGGCAGTATTAGGAGGAAGAGGATGGGGAGGAGAGGCGGATATGAGGAGGAGGAGGTGGAGGAAGAAGGAGGAGGGTGCGGAGGAGGAGGAGGTGTAGGAGTTGCTGGCGCAGGTTGCAGAGGAGGTGGACCACATCGGCGAGGACATGCAGGCTGGCATCGCCCAGGAGGTCGAGGACGCCAGCGTCGGCGCCCCGGATGCGCCGCCTGCTCCCCTTCTTGCCCGTCCTCCCGCCCCGTGCTCCTCCCGGTCCTCCTCCCTGTACTCCACCCTTCCTCACTCCTGCTCAACTCCCTCCTCCTACTCCTCCTCCTCCTCCTCCACCTCCTCCTCCTCCTCCTATGACCTCCTCCTCCTCCTCCTCCTCCTATGACCTCCTCTTTGTCCTCCCTGCCCCCTTTCAGCCAAGACGTGGTGGCGCATACCGAAGGCCCAACGTTCGATGGCACGAGCGGTGGATGTATCTGTGCCCGCGAAGGCGTGCAGCTTCGGAACCTGTCAGAGGAATGCCCGCCTTCTGCAGCGGGCAAGTGGAACCTTGACCAGGCCGCCCGGGGCGCCTGGCCAGGAAGCAGCGCTGCAACTCGAGAATTGAACGGGAGAAAGGGTCTTTGGCGGAGCAGACAGGCCAAGGCAGAATACCAGTTCGGTCATTGACCAGCAGCGGCATACCCCCAAAGTCCTCCTTGCCCCCCTCTGCTGTTTTTCTAGAACCGAAAATCGGATAGCTCAGTGCATCATGTACATTTAACATGGTGCTCCCGATTCCGCGCCGGCCCCGCTTCAGGCTCGGCGCCCTGCTCCCGGTCGTTCCGCGTGGCGCTCTCGCCCCTGTGCGGGCCACACTTCTGGATCCGATTCCCTCCTCGCTGTTGTCGCCTCTCGCAGTTTCCCTCGGAGGAGGAGGAGGAGGACCGGGAGGAGGAGGAACGGGAGGAGGAGGAGGAGGAGGAGGAGGAGGAGGAGGAGCCTTCCTCTGGTCCTCCTGTCCTCCGCCGCGCTTCTGCGCCCGCTGCTGCTGCTGCTCCTCCCTCCTGCTCATCCCCTCCTGCTCCTCCTACAGTCGGGGCGCTGACTAAGGAACCCTATTCGTTGGGGAGGAGCTCGGTGTTCCTTGATTGTTTCACAGTTTGCCTTGGGTTTTCCTTAGGTTTTCCATGGGGAATCGAAGTTTAAGTTAAGGGAAACAGGGGCCTCGTTCCTTATTTAGGGTTCCTTAAGGTCAACGCCCCGACTGTACAACGGAAACAGTTCCCCTGTCGGATTGCGCACAACAGGACGGGATCGTTTTGGGGACCCAGGTCCGCCAGGACACCCGTCGGCGGATATACGGCGGGTGCGTTCGTTCAGGAATGTGCCCAGGAGGCTTCAGGCCTTCCCGAGGATTCCTTCTCTGATGAGGGCGGCGGTGGCATCCATAGGCAAGCCTCAATGGGGTGTTCGACCAGCTTTCGCACCCTAGTTTCCTTCTCCACTGGTTTCTTCTCCAGCGCCCTCAGCGCAGGGACAAATCAGCGCACAGGAAGGGACGGGTGGGAGGGCGGGATGTCAGACATGGAGCGAGCGCACTTGGCTTGCCCCCCCCTCCCCCTAGTCCCTGCCCCCTCTTCCTCGCTGGCAAGGTCGGCGCGGGCGGCGCTGGGGCCATGGAGCCGGCCGACGCCGATGAACGGGATCCTCTCAGGCACGGCTGGGAAGTCTGCGTTATCTATTATGCTCGGTCGTTCCTTAGGCTTGCATGGTCGTTCCTTAGGCTCGGTCGTTCCTTAGGCTTGCATGCGTTATTTATCGTTCCCTATGCGTTATGTATTATTTGTTCATCGTTCCCTATGCGTCATTCCTTGGAAGAACGGGGCTTCGTTCCTTAATGATCATTCCTTAGGTCAGGCCGATGACTGTAGCCGCGGCGCAGAGCCACCCTGGCCATCCAACACACATTTGTATGCGCCAGGTCTCCCCGGCATCCAGGCGTTGCATCTTCCTCGCGCCGGGCGCATTTCGCCCGGCTTCGGGCCCCCTGGACCATCACAGACGGGTCCGGCTCCGAAAATGCAGCAGAAGGATGGGGCCTTGAGCTGTGCCCAGCGTCACGGACCCCAACGTGTGCCGCGCCGAGTCGGGGCGCCGTGGGAAAGCTACAGAGAGTGCCGGGAGCTCATCCGTGCCCCAGGCGGAACGGGGCGAAGCGAGCCCGCGGCTCTGCCGGCGGAGGCCTGCAGAAGAGAAGGCATATGCAGTCGTGGCGCTGACGTGAGAAGCGGGTTGGCTTCGGCAGGGGCTCGCGGTTCCTTGGGCCTCTCCGTGGCTGCTCCGCTGGCGCTCGTCGTGCACCCCGGCGCTCTTGGGACCAGCGTGAGGCCTCGCTCCTCGTCTGAGAGCTCCTCGAGGCAGCAGCTGCACTGTGCTCCTCTCTGAGGGCCTGTCGGGGGTCCAGGCCTCTTCTTGGGCCGTCTTTGGGTCCTTTTGGGCTGTCTTGGAGCCCTCTTGGGCCGTCTTGGACTCTTTCGGGCGCCTCTTGGGCCGTCATGGCCTCATACAAAAACATGTGCCATCGATGATTTTTGCATCTTGGGGCGTCTTGGGGTCATCTCGGGGCGTCTTGAAAGCCTCTTGGACCGTCAGGAGGGCATCTTGGATGTCTTGGGCCGCTCTTGGGCCGACTCGGGGCCCTCTCGGACCGTCTCGAGGGCCTTTCGGGACCCTCTTGGCATGTCTTGACGCTCCATGACCGCTTGGGAAGTCGTGCAGCTAGCCCCAGGAGTCCTGCGAGAAGCCCCAGATCCTCCAGCAATTGGAGGTCTTGGATCTGGGCCCTTCTTAGACCATTCGCGATACTCAATGCTGCGGGATCGAGGGGCATGAGGACACTCCACTCAGTGGCTCCAGGCAAGATATTTCTCTCTCTCTCTCTCTCTCTTTCTCTCTCTCTCTCTCTCTCGCACACGCACAATGTGCACATCATCCAAACAGTGCTTGCACCAAGGGGCTCTTGCTTCCGCTGAAGGCACTGGGTGGGTGTGCCAGGTGTTCGGCGGGTTCTCGCTGGGGCGCCTCGTGGGCGCGCCCGCTGGCGCCTCCCGCGCTCGTGCGCTGGGCGGGTGTGCTGAGAGTTCGCCCGTGGCCCGCCCGGGCGCCTGCTCCGTCGAGGATTCGCCGAGGCGCCGCCGGGCGGCCTCGGAGCCTGCACCGCAGAGCCTGCACGGCACAGCTCGCATCGCATTGCCTGCGCCACGCAGCACTCACCACATATAGCACAGCGATCACACCACAGTGCCCACCACACGGCTTGCACCACACCGCTTGCAGCACACAGCCTGCACAACATAGAGCTTGCACCACAGATGCTGCACCGTATAACATGCATCACGCAGGTGATACGACATAGCGTACGTACACCAGTTAGCTTGCACCACATAGCTCACACGTCAATTCTTGCAAATGTGTGTGTGTGCACTTTCGTGTATATGTATATATATATACATCTGTATGCATGCATATATATATATATATATATATATATATATATATATATATATATGTGTTGTGCCTGGTGCCTGCTCAGGGCGGTGCTGCAGGGAATCTGGAGCGCGTTTGAAGACTATGAGGTCGCGTTCGGCGGGAAGATCCGCCAGAGCTTCCAGAATGGAAGCCTCTTGTACAAAGAGCTCGCTGGGCTGCAGCACAAGATCGCGACCTGGAAGATCTTCCCGCCCACCGAGAAGGATCGGGAGAGGGAAGGCATCCCCCTTCGCCAGGGCCCTCCCCGGGCTCAGGATGGGCCA